TACTTGAACGTTTCAATATTCATGTCCTACTTAAAAAATCTGTTTCTAGCCTGTATCTCCTGTCCAGGTTACTAATATCAAATAAAAAAAACAACTCGGAATAATGTTTTCAATTCACTCACAGCATGCACTAACAACATCCTTGTAGCATCACCATTCTATCAAGTTATCTTCAAGTACAATGGTAGAAAATAATACCTATATTTTTTGTTATTCTATTCGCACTATAAAAATGCAGTACTTGTGCACCCATGTATCTCTAATGTTTTGTTTATTTTATTTATTTCTTTTTTTGGATGAATAATTGCCGGGTTGGTAGCCCATGGTTTTGGACCGACCTCAGAACGATTTACATATTTCATTATTGTTATATGAACTGTATTCGGAACATCTAGATGCCCTATACGTATTTATTTGTCGTTTCATCTGCTGCAATTGAAAAACGACAAAACACATCCATAGCATCCAGATGTCAATACCGAACGCTACTTATAAATCTTTGTGGTATCTACGTCTCAACATGTCTACAATTTTTAAATTATAAAGATAATTCCTCTAAAGCAGATTCTACTCAAGTTCTTCAGATAACATGTGATCGTTAATTTCTTCTATAAAATTTATATCTTCTACCTGAACTATGCTAGAATGAAGAATGCATCTGAATTTCTGAATGTCTTTTATTCGCCATCATCAATGCCACAACACGCTGTAGAAGCCGAAACAAATTAATAAGATATTATATCCTCGCAGGTGTGTCGATTGTTAAAAAATCGTTTCCTGTATTAAAAAAATCGTGACGCTATGCATGTACACGCGGACCAGTGACTGGAATGTCTAATTTCACCGAGCAACGGACAGACCGTCCATATGCCTTATAGAGTATTTGCTAAACAACGCGAGTAATATAGTCGCTGAAGAGGCAATCTAAGATGATCTTTTGTTAAATAAGCGCCACGGTTGTTTAAAAACCGCGAACCACGATCCCCTAACATAAATATGGATTGTTTAATTGATGTCAACATTCCATCCAAGGGTAAAAGAATATCGCCAATCTTGACAGCAATTGTTAAGTTTTTATATAAAATAAAACACCTTTTTTAATACAAACATTATAAATTTTTAATTATTAGGATGGAATAGTTTCTTATAATTACATAAGGCTTTAAAGGCGGTTTTCCACTAAACGGACAAAACAAAAACAAAACACAAACTTGTGTCGAATAAAACAAAACTATAACTTTTCGCAAACTTTTTGAAGACGGGCGTGTTTTGCGACAGTTGGAGTTTTGTTTTTCAAGTCCCGCTCAAAAGCGGTCACATCAAAAGATTTCGACGTGTTTTGAAACTCAAGTCTGTTTAGTGGAAACGGTCATGTCGTGTTTTCTATTTAAGTGATCCAACCCAATATCTATGTTGGCGTTTTCTTCTTCCCAATAACAATATTTTAATTATTAATGAATTATAGCTATTAACAAATATATATATATGTGTTACTTGGCGAGTATACAAAGATAGATAGATAGATTTTTATTGACAATATATACATCAGTACATTTTTGTCACAAATTAACAACTAAATTATAATGAACCGTACATATATACACTTACTTTTTTCCAAGGACTTCAGTATAAACCAGCCATAACTAAGAATAAAAAAATATTCTCTAAACATGTTGGTTGGTAATTGGAAAAATGTGTTGACTTCTTCGCGACAACCATTGGAAAAGGACCGAAAACAAAAACAAAACTCGAACAAAATGTAACCCGCTTGATGGAAACAAGAGTTTTGGGTTTGTTTCAGTTTTGTTTTTGTTTTTCAGGTTCTAGAAAACACAAACAGGACATAAACTCAACTGTCCGTTTAGTGGAAAACCGCCATAAGAGAGATATGGACAAAAAAAAGTATGCCACAAGGATAATGAGTTAGAAAGAAATTACCTACTACTATTTGCTAGATTAACTAGATATGTAACTAAATCTTTGTAATAAGAAGCAATCTTTGGGATATATCTCCCTTATACATAGATAGACTTGTCAAAACGTAATCAAAACTTAGGTATATAATTGAAAAAGTGGTACTTTGGCAACATTGAAATTGCCTTGTCACATTGACCATATTCTTTTACTTTGCTTGCAGATTTTTTTATTTTTGTGTTCAATTCCCTTTTCCTTGACCAATTGTTTTACAATTCAGTAAAGTAGAAACCTTTATCTTATCGAAAATCGTTCGGGTGTGCCAAGCCTAAGATTATTACCAGTTAAAAGAGGTAAAAATTAATTAAGAGTCGTCATATGTGATTACGCATCAATTTATCGGGAGTTGCGTAAGTTATTATGAACTTTTCTGCATTTCAGAAAATTTTAAATCCAATTTTATATAATATATTTTTAAACCACTAAAACCTTTAAACTACAAACTAATGACACTAGCATAAACTGTGCCAAAATTATTTAGATTATCATCATAGAAAAATTATACAGGGTGTTCCTAAATAAGTGTCGCAACGGGAAACTGTAATTTCCTCTTGAAAAAAAGAAACATTATTTTCCTCTTCCATTTTTCGCTCCGGGCTTTCGTTTTCGAGATACACGGTGTCAAAACTTTAATTTTTTTTTAGTTTTTCGCCAATATCTTAGGAATCGTTTGAACTACAGGACTGAGCATTTGTACACACATTACCACTATTAATAGCTACTTTTTCGAACCCTTCTCGAATTAAAATAAAATAAATTAATTATTATTATTATAATAAATTTTACGCCACTGGAAAAATTGACTTTTGACAGCAAATTCTAAAGCGCCAATGAATTTTATACAATAAGAGTTCTCTTGTTCTCTTGCTCTAAAGTCAACCGTTTTCAAGAAAAATGACTTTTTATGAACAAAAGCAAACATTTTGCTAACGTTTCAAAAATTTTTTGCATTTTGCATTTTGAACATTTTGCAAGTGCAAGTAACTGAACAGAACATCCGGAGAACGAAATGCATCGTTTATGAAATCCATGTCAATACTATCGAAAAGTTGACCGATAGAGGTGAAACCGCAGCGACAGAAAGAAACATGATTAGAAGATGTAATGCGTGCATTCAAGCCAACGGACGTAATTTTGAACAGTTTCTGTAAATTTTACTCGCCAAATTGATAAAAAAAAGTTAAAATCCTATCTGTTGTTAAATTTCGTTAAAATTGTTAATTATTACTACCTATTTTTTGAATTACAAAAGATTTTCGAAACGTTAGCAAAATGTTTGCTTTTGTTCATAAAGTCATTTTTCTTGAAAACGGTTGACTTTAGAGCAATGAACCAAGAGAACTCTTATTGTGTAAAATTCATTGGCGCTTTAGAATTCGCTGTCAAAAGTCAATTTTTCCAGTGGCGTAAAATTTAGGAGGGGAAAACCCCTTACGATACCTTAAAATCTCCACCACTGGCACGTCCAATAAATTCGAGAAGAGTGCGAAAAAGTAGCTATTAATAGTGGTAATGTGTGTACAAAAGCTCAGTCCTGTAGTTCAAACGATTTCTAAGATATTGGCGAAAAACTAAAAAAAAATTAAAGTTTTGACACCGTGTATCTCGAAAACGAAAGCCCGGAGAGAAAAATGGAAGAGGAAAACAATGTTTCATTTTTCAAGAGGAATTTACAGTTTTCCGTTGCGACACTTATTTAGGAACACCCTGTATTGTTACCAAAAGTGGAAATCTAAAGCAGGTCTATTAGATACCTCACACCGTGACACCTGTTAGATCAAAATTTTTTTGCTTTTGATGTTTTTCACACATATCAAAATATATCTAATTTAGCAATATAGGTAATCACAAACATGTTACATGTATTAACTTTTGTGTATAGTAAAAGTACAACTATAAAGTAAGCTGTTCGAACAGGATGTTTTCAAAAAGTTGAGAATTGAAATTAGTAAGAAAATTACCTACTCCATTATCAATCAATATAAAGAATGTATAAATAACTGTTAGGTATACATTACCCTTTGTCATTTGTAATAATTATAATATCTAACCTTATATTGAATCGAAGGCCCCAAACACCCATCCATTAATACTGACGTGTTAAGTTCACAGATCACTGGTAACGTTAATTTAAAATACACTTGTATATCAAAAACTTATCCCCGTCCAGGAGATTTAAGTAATTTCATCATTACAATGGCAATATAAAAGTCAATAATATCTTTATAACCTATATTTTAACACAAAAGTATCAGGCTATGCGGCCTATAATCACGATATTTAGTAGAGGATTAAACAAATGGTCATATATAGTAGAATACCATCATATCGCTATAAATAACTAAAAATAAAAGACTTAAATCTATCCAGTTTCATGTACAGGTTTCAAACAACCAATGCATATCATACATAATAAAATGACATTTTGTTACTCACAATACTAAAATACTGCCAGATATTTCAGAGCTGCACTTTTCATCTCAAACACACGGACAGTTTAACTTTTCACAGCAATTATATAGCCATTTTAATAAAAACATTGGATAAATACTCTCACTCAAACCGAATACACAGGGGTGAACTGTCACTTCAAAACTGTCAAATGATTGGAACGACTATCTCTTTTTGATACGTTGAATTCCTATCCAATTGAACTTTCCTTGTCTATGGTGTCTATTAACAAAAACCACAACAATGCAGATGTGGAATTTTATAGACACTTTTATTAATAATCATTTTGATATGAGATTAATAGTATATCTAACTCTAAATATATATTTAACATCAGTTCAGTATTTCAGTAATATAAAAAATAATTTCAGCGAAGAAACTTTAACTGCCATCTGTTAATAGTAAAGAAAATATAGGTTCGACACGCTTAAAGATTACTGCAAATTGTTACTTTTCAGTGTTCAAGTTTCTAAACTACAGGTTTGATTTTGTTTTTATAGGTGGCGCAAGTTACCGCGCTGTTGCAATGTATTCGTCTTTATCTTTATATAGATATGGCAATTTGGCAAATCTGTTGTGCGATACACATAAAATGTCATCCAAACAACCGCCCGATTTTTCTAAAAAGTTTTCTAGTTTTGTAAGATGTAAAGTAAATTAATAGTGTAAAATTATGTTTGCATTGTGGTGTTGTGAATTAAAACTATACGAAATCACATGAGGCGTCTAGAATTAATAAATAACTGATCTCATTACAAGTAATTGTGCTAAAGTGCATCTGTTTGATACTTTTATAATTTTGTCTCCAGCTTAAAAGTGTTGTAAATTGTGAGAGTCTGTTATAATATATGATAAATAAACTGTTTGTGTAAATATTTTTTAATATTTAACAACTCACCTTTTAAATAAAAAAAAAACGAAAAATGGTAAGTGGCAATTGTTATATTGTTGATTTCTAAAAAAGTAGTATTGCTCACTTTTTCTTATAATTTTTAGCAAGTAGACGATCCCCCTTATTTATCTGTTGGTACAGCAGTTAGTGCAAAATATAAGGGAGCCTTTTGCGAAGCTAAAGTAAGCAAAGTTGTCCGTATTGTAAAATGCAAGGTTAGTAGTAACAAAGAAAATTACTTAAGTCACTTTTTGACATATTGTTTGTCTTAGGTAACTTATAAAATGGGTTTGGGTAATGCCACACTTAGCGACGAGCAGATAAAAGGAACATTGCGTGTAGGTCAACTCGTTCAGGCTAAACACCCTGACAAAAAAGAATTGGTCGATGCAACGATAACAAAAATACAAGATTGCAGTCAGTATACTGTCGGTGAGTAGAGTCGTCTAGTTATTTTCCCCTTTTTATGATTTTCTGACATAAAAATAATAGAATAAATAACTTAAAAAATGGTAGTCTCAAACAATATAAAATATTTCTCATTACAACAATAAAAGCTAGTGACAAACTGTATGGAGAATTTAGTTACAGCGGCAAAGAAATTTAAAGAATACTCTTGGGTATTTCCGACGAATTTTAATAGGGAAATTTAAGGAAATTAGAGCAAATTCCTAGAGAAAGTTTTTTGTTATTAATAAGTCGATTAGATTAATTTTATTTGTTTTAGTTACTATATCATTAAAATACTCCTATCCTTAGTAAATCTATATGGTATGAAATCAGCTTTACAAATGTTTGAAATACATTTGTATTAATAATATATTTACAATGAAAGTAATCTTAATATTAGTTATTTTTCTTAAAAAGATTTAAGAAATATTGTACTTTTCGTACAGGATTTTTTATCATGTAGTCGTTGTTTTGAGACTGTTAGAACTGTGATTATTTAATGTGTTAGGTAACATATCTATATTTTTAAATTATAGTTTTTGATGATGGTGATATAACCACCTTGAGAAGAACAGCTTTGTGTTTAAAAAGCGGAAGACATTTTAATGAAAGTGAGACTTTGGATCAATTACCTCTAACACATCCAGAGCATTTTGGAAACCCCGTAGTTGGGGGAAGAAGAGGTCGACGAAATAGGCAGCTAAAGTAAGACAAATCAATTATCAAATTCTAGACACGTCATATTGTTGTTCCAGGGAAGATAGTAGTGACGGAGAAGTCGAAGAAGAAAATGAACCTGATTTAGAGGCTTATATACTGGACATCGGCAGAGTAGTTAGTGTGGAATCTACAGAAAAGAAACGAACTAAAGACAACTGGTTTCCGGGACTTGTAGTTATACCCTCTGCCCAACCAACGGTTCGAATCAATGTAAAAGACGAATATTTAATTAGATCGTTTAAAGACGGTCGATAGTAAGTTAACTTGTTGACGGAAAATGTTGGTTTTTAAACATTTCATTTGTTTTAGTTACACAGTACCTAAAAAAGAAGTGTCTGAATTTAATAGGGAAATTGGAGAAAAGGTCGATAGTTCTGTTTTGGCCGAAGCTGTTCAAAAAGCTCTGAAGTATCTCGACAATAATGAGCTGCCCGTACACTGGGAAAAAAGCTTGTTGTTCAGCTCTCAGTCTTTAGACAGTGAAAGTGATGAAAATTTTACCGATGTAAGTTTCCAAATTTTATATTCAACGATCCATTCCATAATATTAATTTTTAATAACAGTAATTTTATTTCATTCACATATTAAATTTCGGTAAAATTAAAAATTATTAAAACAAGATTGTATTAAAACTCAATATTCTGATTGAAATAATTTTTTGAGATTTTATTCAACCAATCAGCGATCGCATGATCTCGAACATAGTTGTAACGGTTTCTCATTGTTCGTTATAAACGAATCATTAATATTGGCGACGCTAACATTTAGGGATTTTTAGTTGACAGTACCAGCCGTGAAGTGTTGGTTGCCTAAGCTCAGCGGCCACGTGGCTTGTAATCATTTATGAAGGCTCTGCATGTCCTCATGGTTTCATAGTCTCCTTTCGATATTCATATGGGTGCCATATTAGATTTATGGAGTATAAAGTTGTGAGTTCAATATATTATACTGGGCTGAACCAACTTTATTAAGATTCAGAACATTTCAATTTCACAAATTTATCGATTTAATCTTAGTTGCAAAGAAAATCAAATTAAAAATTTGACTTAATAGATAACGGGTTATCCATTTTCTCCGTGGGAAAGTAAAGTTAAAAAAAACACTGAACATTTAAATTTCGAATTTTTATTTTATAATAAAATTTGAACTGACATTATGCGTGGAAAACAATATCATTCAAATGTCCTCCACGGAACCATTTGCAAGATTCAATCCTTTTGAGGTAATTTTCAGACTTTTTCACACAATTCGGGCAATAACTCGGCCATAACTTGACGTATCTCTTCCTTCAATTGCTCCAAAGTTGTAGAATTGTTCACGGTCTTTCGCATAGTCTCACTAAAAGAAATTCAAAGGCGTTAAATCACTAGATCTTGATGGCCAAGCCACATTGCCTATCTCGAAATTACGCCATGACTGGACGTGTTGTGTGGCATGTGGTCCCGTCTTGTTGAAACCACATATTGTTCAGATCAAAATCTTCAATATCAGCTCAAAAAAGTCATTGATCATGGCGGCATACCGTTGAGAATTGACGGTAATGGTCATTCTCGAACAAATACAGCCCGATGACACCGCTGGCCCACAATGCACACCAAACAGTCACTTTTTCTGGGTACAATGTTCTCTCAGCGGTCACTTGTGGCTGTTCGCTACCCCAGATTTGGCAATTTTACTTATTAACATAGCCGCCGAGCATGAAATGGCCCTCATCACTGAAAAAGATTTTCTTCGAAAAATCTGGATCGTGGCCTATTGACCCAGCATCCAATTGGTGCCAGCTTAAGTTCTTACGTGAGTTGGACTTTATACGGACGAAGATACAGGTCCAAATGCAAAATGCAGCACAATGTACTGTATGACAGGCCCAAATGCTGAGCTCAGCGCGAATCAAAAGATTCGGGTCACTGTCAACACGTTCACTCACAGCAGCTATGTTTTCAGTTGAACTGGCAAAACGATGATGCACAGGTCTTACGATGTCTGTTACCCATCCAGTTTCTTCGAATTTCCTCAATGAATTGGTGGTTGTTTGCTGGGATGGACGATATCGCGATCATAATCTCTGCATAATGTGCGAAATACAGCCACCGAAGATCCATTTTCGTAGAATTATTTAATCATTTTAACATCTTGTTCGGTCGTAAAACGTTCCAAAAGTAAACTAAACAAATCTTAGTCTGGATGGCAGTGACATTTTGACAAATGTCTATTGGCAGAGCTGTACTATCCCAAAGCTCGAAATGGATAATCCGTTAGCATATTGAAGCAAAATTTAATTAAGCTATTTAATTGTATTACTTAAAAAGTCAGTTTTCAGTATTTTCGGGATATTTCAACAATTTAAAATTTTTATTTCATAATCTGAAATAGCACGAAAATGTGCAACACTGCAATAAATAAATAAATAAATAAATAAATAATTCAATCTAAAAATGTACCCTTCCCAGATTTTCATAAGTGGTCCCATTGTAAAACTAAATTAAACCGTTTTTCAGACTTCCGATGACGAGCCGTGTGAAGAAAAAGACAGGTTCGTGGCCCAGTTGTATAAATTCATGGACGACGCTGGTACTCCCCTAAATAAGACACCCACCATTGCAGCTAAGGACATTGATCTCCACCGACTATTCCGAGGTGTTCAAAAACTGGGGGGTTACAACAGGGTTACCAATCAGAACAAATGGAGGTCCGTCACGGCTAGACTTCGCCTCCCAAACAATCAGAGCACTTGCAATCAAGTGAAATCCCTGTACAAAAAGTGCTTGTCGAGTTATGAAACTTTCTACAGAACTCTGGGTGTGACAATGCTAAACCACACCCGGTCTAATAAGAAAAACCGGGGTAGGAGCCTGATTAGAGATAAAGACAGAACCACCCCGTTGAACAGTCCTAGACCGGACAAAGAGGAGGAGCTTGTAGAGAAAGTGGAAGAAAAGAAGGAGGTGCCCGTTCAAACACCCGAGCCAGTCAAGGTAAAGAAGAAGCAGGAAATTAGAAAGATTATAAACATCGCGGAGATCAGCGATACAAATAGCAGCGATACGGCCGACCAATCAGAACCAGTCGCTGGTAGTTCAAAGGATTCCGGTCGACCGAAACGGGAGAATAAATCCAACAAAGATAGAAAAATTCGAATGGTAACGAGCGTCGAAAAAGTAAAGTTGGTGGTGGAGAAGCCCGAGGAAATACAGAAAAAGGAAGAGGAGGATAAAGTAAGTTTGCGAAGAGAAAATACGAACTTCGTTAAAATTGATTTAATTTTTAGGGACAGCAGACCCGATCTAAATCACAATCTAAAGCAAAAGATCCCCTCATCTTGGATAAGAAAATTGAAAATAGAGTAAACACACGAGAATCCAGAACTTTGAGTGTTAGTAAAATGAATCCTAAAAAGATAGTTCCCGAAGAGGACAAGAAGCGAGGTCGGAAAAAGATAGGCGACGATAAAACATCTGCCGAAGGTGAAGGGACGACTATAAGCATTAACATCGGTGACAAATTGAAAGTTTACTATGGGCCGACTCACGAGTCTAAAGTTACGTACGAGGCAAAGGTCATTGAAATCGACAAGGATCAAAGCGGACTCGTGTATTTGGTGCACTATACGGGATGGAACACTAGGTAAGTATAGTAATTTTTAAATTTAAAATTAATCAAAACGTAAATGCCTCTGAATATCGGAAAATTAAGGATTGATCCTGGTCCCAGCCTTTTATCCATAGACTTGCGAAATCACTCTTTATATCCAAAAAAAAAATGTTATATCTGTATTTAAAAAATAGTGAAGTAAAATATAGGATACTCTGTGGTTAAGATTCCCCAGGTTGATATCTCAAAAACCAAAAGGAAAATATCTTATTTTATAAAAAAAAGGTTGTATATGAAAATTACTTTGATTCCGAGTACAAATAATATTACTTACTCTTAATTTTTTTTTTTTTGATAAAAATGAGGGTTACTTTCGGTGTGCAACAAATAAAACTCTCTCAACTCTAAAAATAAAAGTAGTTTTATTGAAAACAAGTTAGTGAAGAAGAATATGTGTTGTCGGGGCGAGCGTTTGCTGGAGAGTCGTTTTGGTGTGGAGTCGTTCGCAGGTATCTGAGTAAGCATTTGGTCGCCGGCACCAAGCCGCAGTAGACCCTTCCTGGAATCCTGGCTGGGCTATTGACTAACACTTAAAAATGGGTCACTTGCAGATATGTTTACCCACAAAAGCTTTGGAATAGTATCCTAGTAGTTCTTATCATAGATGTTTTTATGTATCAGAAGGTTTTGCTATAAATTTTGAGGCTGCGATATATAGGAATTGTGATACCATCCATTGAGGAAAATAAAATATACAGGAAGTATCCCCTCTATTAACTGGTTCTGGTTTTCAAGATAGCCTAACCTAAAAGTGCCAAAATCGCGATTTTTTTTGTTGAAATTTAATAGTTTGACTTATTTCTCAGTTTTTGAATTTACTAACACAGCACCATAAACCTAAATTCATCGTCATCCGGAAATAGGGATCTTACATGTTTTTGGGGTTGCTGATCATAAATCAGAACTCCAAAATACTCTATCACGTCATCATATGATTGATGATTTACGCATTATATCAATCTGGAAATACATTTACACACAAAAGAGGCTAATACACTCAATCCCGAACTCATAAACCCATAAGGTTTGTAGTTCTGTTATAAGTATATTCAAAAATTGAGAAATAAGTCAAACTATTTTTCAAAATGCGATTTCTCAAAGACGAAAAATGATATCGGGATAAATCCAAGTGCGTTTTAAAAAGTATAGTACTTTAAAACCTCATCAATGGTTTCAGCAAAAAAAATTACCTTTCCGTGTAACATAACCTCAAATATGTAAAAAAAAATCGCGATTTTGGCACCTCTAGGTTAGAATATCTCGAAAACCAAAGCCAATTGAGAAATTTGGACCTCGGTTTTGAATTGAGCATATCAAAATCCTTTGGGAGATTATATTTGTGTTGTTGGGTTAAAATCTTGTCGGCCTGTGTTATCAAAACCGCTTTATTTTTTTTTAAATTTTTGTTTTATATTTGGCAAACCTATTTCTTATTGCATATTCAATTGATTCCAGTTAAATACAAAACTAGTCTAGTGTTCCTATTTCTCAACTACATAAAATAAGTGCATTTCCTAGGTAAAGAAAGCGGGAATGGTAACAGAAAATGTTTGTAAATAGGCCTGAATAATTGTCAAATACATCATGAATTTTCTTCTAATGGTATGTAAAAACTGGGTACTTCATTGGATGATATTTGTTGACAAAAATTTTTCAATAAAGAAACTCCTATAAAGTAGCCTGGGAATGTTACTAGAAACATTCAAAATTTTTCCAAAGTTTTAAAATTTATTCCTCGAATGTTTCCAAAAATGTGAATTTTCCAAATACAAAAAGTTTCCCAAGCTCAGCTCTAGTAGTACCATTTATTCCTCGAAAGTTTCCAAAAATGTGAATTTTCCAAATAGAAAAAGTTTCCCAAGCTCAGCTCTAGTAGTACCATTTGTATTAAGAATTAATCAAATGCACTGCACTGTACATTTTTAACAGAACTTAAATGTCTTGGTTTTTGATATATGAAATAGGGCTTGGTAATTTTAATAAAGATTCACAAATCACACTGTATATTTTCCCTAACATCTCAAATCAAAGGAAAGAAATAAATTCATGTGTATTCCTCTAATTATCAGGTACGACGAGTGGATACAACCACAAAGGGTTGCAGAAAACCTCAGCGCTGCAACGAAAGCCAAAAGGTTAAAGCAAAGTAATGCCTCCAATGCAGCTACTAAACTAGGATCAGCAAAAAATGCAGGCAAACGAGGTAGAGGAGTATCTATCACCGGTCGCAGCGCCTCAACAAATGAAATACCTCGATCTACAACACCATCTAGCGTTACATCGTCAAGCAGCAGGACCAAAAGTCCTGCAACTCCTGCCACAAGGTCAACCAGTAGACTCACCAGACAAGGTATAATTGTGTTTTAAATGTGACTCCAGTTGTTAAACTATTATTTTATGTATATCTATATATGCTTAAAATTGTGTAGATTCCACCAGAAGAGCTAGAAGAATTTCTGCCCACACTGATGTTTCAAATCACTCAGAATCCGAGAGTGAGGGTTCGGTTAGTGAATCTGAAGTTCCCCGTACAAGAAGTGGAGGAAAGACGGATGAAGTGGAAATCAGAACTTATAAAAGGAAAATTGTAAAGCCGCCCTCAACGGTATTGTCCGTACTTAGATTTGTGCTTTTCTATTCCATTGGGTATTTGTGCCACACTCAAAAGAAAAATAAATAACCCCTTGGCAGATACTTTTGACGCAACGGGTTATTTATCTAAAATTTATTTTTCTTTTCGGTGTGGTGAAAATACCCTATTAAACAAAAAAAACGTACCCTTGCTTCTACCTTAAATACCATTAGCTGTGTTATATGATATTAATGTTGTTTTTTTGTAGCCGAAGACTGACAAACGAAAAGAAAAGGAAGACGAAGATACGGAAAAGGAGGAAGACAGCGAAAAATCTGTGAGGAGGACAAAGAAAATTAAGAAATCTCCAGAGAAGTCAACAGCAGAAGAGAGTGAAGATGAGACTAACCCCCCGAAAGGTCGAGATTTTGATTTGAATCAAATTCGATCAGAACTGAAGGGATTCGCGAAAGCAATAAAAGTACCCTCGATGGATGCGATTGAAAAAGAAATAGTGTCTTCGTCAGATGATTCTACCAATCCACCGCCACCAGAATTGGCTTTGAGTACAGAAGGTGAAACCGAAGAAGAGAAGCCCAAGGAGAAGCCATTGGAGAAATCCTCCAGTTCTGAAGACATTTATGAATTCAAGGAACCTGAGCCTTTTGAATTCGAAAGTAGGTCCAAGATGGTAGAAGACAAGAATGCCAAGAAACGTTTAGTACCACGAATTTTCGATGAGCTAGACAAGTCCCCTAAAAAGAAAACTATCAAATCTCCGCCTAGCAAATTAGAAAAACAGGAGAGCCCTAGTCCAGAAAGGAAGCCTTTCAGGAAAATCCCAGTAAGGAAACCAGATTTGCAGGATGTTTCGGACGACGAAGACACCATTTCTGCTCCGGTTATCATGTCTCCCCAAAAAGAAGAAGATCCTTTTGACAAACTTGTCGAATCGCCTAGCTTCAACTTGATAAAGACATCTGACAAACCTGTCGATAAGGCTAAAGTCACTAAGAATCTACTGGATGAACCCTTGAGCCTGTTCCGAGAGTTACCAGAAACAGTGGATGACTATAGCAGGGATATGGAACTGTCCGACTGCGAATCTCAAACTCAGATATTCACTCGTTCCGGGGAACTGTTTTCCGATACTTTCTCAAAGTCATCGCCTGATCGTAATACGCTAGACTTGGAATTTTCATCTAGTAAAATGGACGAGTGCAAATTGAAGGACAGCGATGACGATGACATGATCAGGGCTCAAATACAAAGAGTTATCGCTCAAAGTTCTTCCACAGATGACGACAGTGGAGATGCCTTACTGATAACTCCCCCCACAAACAGTTACCAGGCCAAAAAGCGGGACATAGATCCGGGTCCTCTGGCGAGTATTCTGGGAATTAGCACCTCCACTCACATCATAGAGGTGCCCAAAGTGGAAGAGGAAGTAAAAGAACCTATTTTGTCTGTCCCGCCCATAGAAATAGAAGAAAAACAGGAGCTGCCTCCTCCGCCTGTCGAAAAATCGGTATTTTCTATTGTAAAACAGACGATTTCTCCTGCCCTACAAGAAACCGACAGCACCTTGTTGGAATCTATCGTCTCACAGCCGCCAGTGTGCTTAAACGCGAAACTAGAGGAAACGGCTAAGGAACTAAGCAACGTAAAAACGGGAACGAAAATCGCGGATTCGATACTTCAGAAATTCAATTCGATTAAGAACAAAATCGAAAGTAAGTCGCCTATTCAAGAAACCACCTCGGAACCAGACGATGTGAACACCAACGTTAAATCGGAATTTAAATTTGAATTGCCAAAGGAAGAACCGAAGCCTAGCGTTAGCGAGATAAAATTGAAGCCCCTCGAAGTTAAACCTAAATATACCGACATTAAGACTAAGATCGCGGACAATCCCTCGACGCCAGTAGATATTAAAGTGAAACCGGAAACTTCTAAGATGGACATCTCGACCTCCGTTTCACCCACTCCAAAACTCGAGTCACTTTCCGATTCTAAGAAGCGCAGAAAGGTTGTGAGTAGGCCTTACATTGAAGAGTCCGAGTCCGATAGCAGCGATTCCGAACAGTTAATCATAGCGAGGTCCGACGAAGATTCACAGACGAATTCGATGGATATCAAATTGCCGGTTGAGTACAAAGAAAGCGATAACAGCAATCCCTTCCCGCAATTGCTGACGACCACGGACGAGTCTCAATCTCAAGAAGAGCCGCGCAATTTCCAATTTGACATAAAGAGAGAGAAAACTCCCGAGCCGCAGATTCAGATTTGTCCATCGAAAGAGGAGGAAGAAGAACAGGAAGTAAAATCCGAGAATGCCGACGACGCCGAGGCGGTTAAAGAGGAGGAGCCAGACTCTCATCTACACTCTCTATTGCTGTGCGAAGAAGAGATTCCGAGGAGTCCAGCTCCGGCAACCGAACCGATTCCCACGGCTGAAGTTAAACCCAACAAGTCCGTATTGGAGATGCCATTTGCCAGCGCACCGGGTACGAGTAATAGCAAGAGTATGTTGCATTTGGAGCACAAAAAGGTCCATCCTTTGCCTTTGGAGCTGCCCGTGGAACGGGAGAGTAGAGCGGATGCTTCGGCCGTTTTGGATAATACGCCTCCGACCACTCCAGAAAGTACTATTAGCACGCCAAGCGGGTAAGTTTTGTACTTTATTTATTTATAGGACTATTTTTTTTCTAAGTCTAGATCGTGAAGAGATTTTCCTCGGAGGAGTAAATAATACAAATTTAGATAACGATAATTTACATCTAAATTAGAAATATTGCACAAAAGATTACAGTTAGTCTAATCAAATTACATTTGGAGAAAAAAAATTGTTACCTGGACTTTTATAAGTAAAAATGGTAAAAGGGCATATAATAAAACTAAAAAAAATAAATGCGTGAGCAGGGGCGGCGGAGGGTTGATTTGGGGGGTTGAAAAGTTATGATAAATTGTATCATTGGGATTTCTGGCGAGAGTTGACGTCAGACAAAAAAGTATCTAATACAAAAGTTGTAAATCATGCAAAAATCTACAACATTTGTAGAGGTCACTTTTTAACATAACCTCAAAATTTCCGATAAAAATGCGAAAAACAGCTTCTTTTCTGATTTTTTGTTTTTTATTTCTCATTTCCACAAAAATAATTTAATTTTAACGTAACTTGGTGAAAGTATACCTTTCTGTGTCTTAAATAACCACAATTTTTTTTTTAGATAAAAAAATCAAGAAGTTTCTGAGATATTCATTTTTTTCGGCCTGAAACACTATTTTTCAAAGAAAAATTCTACTTAGAAAAATCATTGTACAGAGTTCTACCGGTGATGATTTTTTCGTTTTGACATATACTTTCTGGTGAAATAAAAAAATCTGTAATCACAGTTCAAAAACATGCTCAAAAATGCAAAAAAACTAAAAAATCACTAGCAATAATGAATTTTTCAGTTATTGTTGATAATTTGTTTAAATTAAAAACATTCAAAAATTGTTTACACCATTCAATTCTACGCAAAATAAAACAAAACTGTCTCATTGTTTGACCCAAAACTTTATTTTTGGACAGTATTGCTATAAACATCTAAGTCGAATTACAAATGCACAAATGATAAATTATCTCTAGTAGATTTGAGATTTCAGCAATACAAAGTATTAACTGCGAAGTCTACTGTTGACGCGAAATCCGAAAACCCGAAATGCAAAATCGTTTTATTTTTTTTCTGGCTTTTTTTGAAAACGAATTTTAAATACATTGCCACTTTTTTCGCTCTTTCCAATAACGTCAATAGTGATGGGCAAAACGATTCATTTTGATGTTTCGGATCAAATGACTCATTTCAAAGTTGAGAGTCGAAACTGGGAGCCGACTCTTCCGACTCCCAACTCCCATGGTAGATATCGAATCGCTAAGTTCGTAATTCGCATAATCACGGTGGCCCGTCTCGGAACGGACGGAAATAGCGGAATCTGGGCCGATTGACGAATTTTGTCGATTACATATTTGTTTACTGAAACGACTAAAATTGAAATTAGTTCTTCCAGTGCAGTCAAGGGTTATGTACTTAGTTCTTTCACTGAAATTTGTTGTCATACAAAAATGCGAATGAATAGCATATATTCTCTTCAAACGTTTACAAATACAAACGCAAACCGTTTGCTACCGTTTTTCCCTGTAGATTGTGGCCACTGCTGTCCACACTCTTTACTCCCTATCAGTATCAAACGACTTGCAAATCACTAAATATCAGTGATCACAGACACAGCTACACGCCGATCCAAATCGCAAAACGAATCTGACTCACATCTGACTCTCGGCCCTGGTGGTTCAGCTGTACACTATAACGGATTCGACACTCCACACGGAAGTCGGTGAATCATCGGAGTCGACTCTTACATGTTTTGGGAGTCGACTCAGATGATCTAAGCCAAGAGTCGACTCTCTGATTCGAAACATACACTCACTAGCCAACACTAAACGTCAACATTTTTGCAATCCGACCGTTCATCTTCAAAGGGCCATTATCAGATTAATTTTTTTAAATATGTCGCTGCTATTTTTATAACAAAATCTAAACTCATTTTTAATTCTGAATTAGTTGATATTACTATTGTAAAAAGATTTTTAGCTATCATTTAATATTTTTCCTGAGTAGGACTGAACGCTTTCAAAATACCTGTATCAATTGGAGGAAAGAGAGAGGAGAGAATAAAAGTCAATACAGCACAAAATATCCAACAATTTTTTTTAATCAATAATTTAAAAAGTTGTACCTAATAAAAAAATAATACGAATTTATGAAACATTTTATTATTTCTAATTAGTATTGCTAACAGTAGTAAAAAAAATTGTTGGATATTTTGTGCAGTATTGACTTTTACATATACTGTTATGACTTCATCCGATAGATATTTTGAAAGCGTTCAGAGCTGTACTCAGGAAAAATTTTAAATGGTAGCTAAAACAAGCTAAAAACTTTTTAAGCGATTACAATAGTAATATCCTCTAATTTAGAACTAAAAATAGCTAGATTTTGTCATAAAAATAGCAGCGACGTGTGTAAAAAAATTAACCCGATGATGGCCCCTCAGACGAAACGTCCGATTGCAAAAATGTTGACGCCATTGTATAGAGCGAAAAAAGTGGCATTGTAAATATGTAATTTATTTTAAAATTCGTTTTCAAATAAAGCCAGAAAAAAATTAAACAATTTTGCAAAATTTTGGGTTTTTCCGAATATCTCCAGAACTACCCGGAATTTTAAAACTTTCTAAATGGCATATTGTTAGGTATAAAAAAACAACTTTTTTCTAATCTGAGCCACCCCATGTCTCTTACTGTTTCTTAGATCCTAATGCTTGCTATCCCATCCTTATCTTGGACACACTGTATGTCTATGAATTCATCAAAATTAAAAAAAAATAAGTACACTAATTGATCCTACAGAAAAAAAAATATTGTTTATTTTATTTATTCACTATTCGACTTATGTTTATAGCAATACTGTACAAAAATAAAGTTGTGGGTCAAACAATGAGACAGTTTTTTTGTTCATTCATTGCTGCCTCACTTTTTTTTTGCATTTTTGAGCATGTTTTTGAACTGTGACTATTACATATTTTTTTATTTCACCAAAAAATATACGTCAAAACGAAAAAAATGATCACCGGCAGAACTTCGTATGATGATTTTTCTAAGTAGAATTTTTCTTTGAAGAAAAAGTGTTTCAGACCGGAAAAAATGAATATCTCGAAAACGTCTTAATTTTTTTATCTAAAAAAAATTGTGGTAATTTAAGACACAAAAAGGTATACTTTGACCAAGTTTCGTGAGAATTAAATTATTTTTGTGGAAATGAGAAATAAAAAACGAAAAATCAGAAAAAGCCTGTTTTTCTCATTTTTCTCGGAAATTTTGAGGTTATGTTAAAAAGTGGCCTCTACAAAAGTTGTAGATTTTTGCATGATCTACAACTTTTATATTGGATACTTTTTTGTTTGACGTCAATTTTCGTCAGAAACCCCAATGATACAATTTTTCATAACTTTTCAACACCCCAAATCAACCCTCCGCCGCCCCTGCTCACGCATTTATTTATTTTTTTTGTTTAATACAAGCCCCTTTACCATATCCACTAATAAAAGTCCAGGTAACAATTTTCTTTTTTTTTTCCCCTCTAAATGAGTTATTTCGATTGATCAAGTCTCTAAATTTTGTAAATTTTTTAAGGTAGGGGTGAATAAGTTGGGTTTCTATTGCGTAGTATTTTGTGTCATTTTGAAATTTATCTACTGTATATTTTAGTGATAATGGTGACTTATCTCCGAATACAGCCGATAACGAAAGTTGCAAGTCTAACGATAACGAGCCGGAATACCCGAGGCAAAGGAGAAACTCGTCGATGAAAGTTTCTCCTTACAGCGAAGAAGGTAAAAATACGTCTAATAAATGAACATGTATTTTCATTTTACCATGATTTCAGACACGCAAATGACGAGCGATACAAGCATCGTCAAAAAACTTAAAGAGGAATTAACTCCGGGTTCTTGCAAAAAACGTAGGAAATCGTTGCGCGGATCGGACGATGCGACACCTGCGAAACGTGGCAGAAAACCTGTAAATAGATCTCGTCAAAACAGCGACAGTGACGACACATCGGAACACTCAAATACTGGTAGTACAAACATTGGATTGTACGAGAGATCGACCAGATCTCCCAGACCGTCCAAGTACAATTTCTATGTAGAATTTGGTAAGCGTTCTCACGGAAAAGTTACGGAATTACTTACTTTTTTTTTTTTAGATCCCAGTTTAGATAGCGGGCAGAGAATAGCAGTTTTGCAACAAAAACTCTCCGAGTTGAGGAAAACGTATGCTGACGTCAAAGCGGAATTGGCTGCGGTGGAGAGGAGGAGGAAAAAGATAAGGCGTAGGGAAAGAGAAGGTAATGAGTAGATTATAGATCGTAAATGTATGAAGTTGATATATCACGCTTTTCTTCTGTGATCTTCCGTTAGTCGATTGTAGACTTCTACGAGAGTTTGGCAGAATGATATCCCTGTTTTGAAATTGGCACTATGGAGGTTGAAGTGACGGGCGGGGCGTAGGTATTGTTCTGACTTCCGAGAAAGTTTGTCATTGTAGTTGCCAAAAATAGCGACTATCACTACCACGCAACGTTTATTTCGTAGGAATTTTGTAATAGGTCAACATGGAAGAATACCTGACAAAGAAACCATAAGAAAACGAAATCTTTAGAAAAGAAATCATTTGGAAGACTTCGGAGCGTATGAACATGATTTGAATACCGCAGCAGCGAAATCTCCACAACATTCAGCTGTGAAGCGGAATGGACTAAAATTTAAGAATTTTGCATTCAGATGGCTGCCAAGCAACTTGCAAAACCATATAGGATCTCCCCACTGAAGCTGTTATGCTGTCTAGCGACGAATGTCACTTTAATGTTTTGGCTGAATTAATATGCAGAATTTCTAGCAGCAGAAAATTTGTACCTTACCGACAGCAAACATGCTACTATTTGATGTACAATTTCAGAATTTGGATTAATAGTGTCATATTTTTGTTGACGAAAAAAAAGCTTGGTGATTGTTACATCCCGTCGCTATGTAGAGATGTGAAAGTTCTTAGAACCGTGACTAAACAACCTTGGAAATGTATGATCCTAACAAAATGGCATTACACTTCACATACGGCAAGAGTATCTAAGGAATTTGTAAGGGAATTTTTTCCAGATCACCTCATCTCACTACGTCGTGATAATAAAGGGTGTAAGAAGTTTGACTGCCATTACTTCAGCATGAGATTGAGTAATCATAAATGAACAAAACACTTGTATATTACAGGGGCTTAAGATTGACAGTTTTCAAAATACAGCGAGTATTAATATTGGGGAGTTTCATCATGTGACAACAGCGTTTAACTTGCTGTTGTCACGTGTACATGCGGCAGACTTGTCCTATGGAAAAAATGTAAACAGCTATTATTGTGGAACATTTAGTAAATTTCAAAACAATTGTTTTCCAGTTTTTAAATAAATAAAATAAAAGGTATTGGTTTTGTAGTGCGAGATAGTGTTGTGCTTAAATTTTAGCTCGAATTTTAGTAATTATGAATCTCTTAAAATAGGAACTTAACTTTTAATCAAATTCAGTAATTTTTAAACACGCAAGTACAAAACAAACTACAACATATGCTAAAAATGTTCAATTTCCGTGCACTCGCTGGAAAACACCTCAAGAAAAGGAAATAGTGGTACGCAAAAATCACTCCGACACAGTCAAATCCAGATACCAACTGAATTGCATATTGATGGACTAATACCTCGTGTTATTATAATCGCCGCACTGTTGTCACATTGCTCGATTACAACGCTAATTATTTTTCAGAATTAAGCATAAAGGCCCAAAAGGGTGGCCCAAAAAAACGAATATTTTTTTCGTGTCTTGTGAAAATATGTTAGTTTATCATGTTTTAAGAGCCCCCTCAAAAAATTGGCTCAAAAAAAAATTTTTTAGAGGTCGCTCAAGATTTTTAAATATTTCCAAAATCGTCAAAAATTGATTTATTTTTTTTCGTTATTTTATCATTTTCTAGGTTGAAAAAAATCTCGATTCTGAAAATTTGAAATCAATATTTTAATTTCTAAAAGTCACTCATAATTATTTTAACTTTAAAAGTAGTGCACCTAAAATGTTTTTGAGCAACCTCTAAAAATAAATATCAACGAACTAATATTTTTTTTATTGAATTTGATGAACAATATTGACATTTTTAATATTAGTCGGACTAAGCTACTCTCATACTTATGACACATATACGATTGGGTGTTTTATGTACATTTTAACTGACATTTTTTTGTTTTCTTTCTTTGTTCTTTTTTACATTGTATTTTGCATGTGTCTGGTTGTTTATACATTATTTTTAACTGGTTTTTTATATTAGCTAACATTTGTCAACTGTATACAACATGTAATTGGACTTTGTCTGTATGTATGCAGTATAAATAAATAAATAAATAAACAAAAGAATAGAAATAAATCATGACACTTAAAAAATTTCTCGAGGCAAAATTTACTACCGCACTGTGATTATACATTATAAATCTTTAAAATTTAAGTGTCGTGATTTATGTCTATTCTTTTGTTCATCAAATTCAATAAAAATAAATTATTAGTTCGTTGATATTTATTTTTAGAGGTCGCTCGAAAACATAGGTACACTAATTTGAATGTTAAAATAATTATGAGTGACCTTTAGAAATTAAAATATCGATTTTAAATTTTCAGAATCGAGATTTTTTTTCAACCTAGAAAATGACAAAATAACAAGAAAAAAATTAAAACAAAAAATAATTAAATTGTTGACAATTTTGTAATTTTTTAAAATCGAGCGACCTCTAAAAATTTTTTTTGAACTGATATTTTGAGGGGGCTCTTAAAACATGATAAACTAACATATATTCACAAGAGACACGAAAAAAAATATTCGTTTGTTTTTGGGCCACCCTAATAGAGAAGTTCAAAAAAGTGAAAAACATTCTGTTTTATGGTATTCAGTTATGTCCATATTCCTTAATTAATCGAACTTTTTTACTTCAAGTTGGAGATTTAGATTTTTTTCTCGGAAATGGTTGGGTTTACGACTCATGTCATAAAAGGTTTTTTTGTATATTTTAATGTATTCTATCGTCTGTTAAAATTAAGGCAGTCAAACTTCTAACACCCTGTATAATTCACAACAAAGTGATCGCAATATAAAAATAAAATGGCAAACGCTGTTCTTTGTTATACTGAAATAAAATTTCAATCCATATTCTTTGTTGCTTTTTTCAATTTATGTTTCAAAATTGGGAGTTCATTTTGCCAGAACCTGTATGATCTTAGAGTTCCTCATCCAGCTTTAGCCTCCTAATCAAGAACCATGATTTCAATACTGTTCCCGCATATTTTAGCTTAAAAATAGTAGATAACACACTCTGTCACACTCACAATACATGAACGCATTTTCCTCTTTGTCCTGGCAGAACCTACACAGACTGTGTTCCACCAGGCTAATATTAATATGTTTCTTGAATTTACAATGTCCAATTACCAGTCCTAGTGTTATCCTTGTTCATTTGTGACTTTATTTCAATAGCTCTACCATCAAATCCTTTGATGGTTCTCCTAAAAACTTCTTGGTTTGCCTTTGCCCAGGGATTGCCATCGTTTTTTTGGGCCTTATCTTTAACCTATGAGTTAATAATGCAGCTAGCAGGAGAGATCAGGCCCCTGTAGAGCTAAAGATGATGTTAGTCTGGTTAACTCATCATCCTTGTTATTAGATCACATAGTTTTGACAGTGGTTTTAAGTAAAGTACCATGGTTTTTCGGGTTTGTGTACCCGGTCGCTGCCAGGTGAAGAATTTATAGGAGTACCACTGAAGATGCCGCCAATGAAGAACGGCGAATTGTTTGGAAGCATTGGATGTGACCAGTTGTCTAAAGAATGGTTCATCAATCTTAGACCCAAAATGAACATCAGGGTGGCTAAAGGGGTTTTGCCCCCATAGCCCCTAGCTCGAGAACAACAAGGGCACATCAAATAATCGTAATTAAGACATAACAACCTGAAAAACCATCGCACTTTAAACACATAGTTTTGAATTTGTAGCCTTATCAAGGCATTTTAACAACACGTACCCGCCTAGGTTTATTCTTGTATGAGTTGATTGCCATTAGCATTGCCTGATTTTTTTAAGTATTAAATTCTACAGTACTCAGTCCATATAAGCTTTTCAGTATCTCTAATTGTTTCTGAGATCCATTTACAAAGTTGATTTATCCTGTATCTAAGTATGACTGATGAATTTATGTGAATTTAAGGGAAAAAAATGCTTCTAATAATTTTTACACATCCACTCGATAATTTTTTAAATAATTACTGTTACGATTACTGAAATTTGGGAATTTTTTGGTCAACATTTAGCTGAGTATTGGAGTAAATAACAATTAATTGTTTTAATATGTGTCCTTGTACAATATTCATCACTTCTGTGTGGAACAATATGGCATACAGTCATATAATAAGAGAGACTTCGACCCTTATATCCCCAACTCCGATTTTTATGTCTGTCTTTGAGCTGAAACTAGACTGGTTTTCACAGCAGGCCTTCTTCCCACTACTTCCTTTTGGTAAATAAAATTAATTCAAAGTCACATTAACAACGAAAGATACTCCCTAAAAAAAATTAAGAGTAACTTCTCAAATGATATTGACTAAAGTCCCAAATAATTCACATCTGTTATTGTGTGGTTTTAGCCCTGAAAGCCGCAAAACAGGAAATGGCGTGCGCATGATAAAAAAACTCACTCGACCAGATGATCTTCCGTTTTTAATATATTTATTAAACAAAGTGACAACCTGCAGATTACCAATTCGGTACAACAAATTTTATTTGAACATAACACAAACTGTTTGGTGGTTTTGAAAGTGTTAGAGATTTCATAGCCTTTAAAAGTGCGGTTTGAATTTTATATGTCATAGATTAAAATAAGTTATAAAGGGTCTTCTTCCTTAAAGTGTTCAGAAATCCAGTTGTCGCAAAAGGTGTCCCAGTTTCCACTGTAATATGCATATATCAAATTTAGGTATAAAAACATCTTAAAAGTAAGCAGTAATAAATTTAATTTAAAATTATATGTTATCTCAAATTGTTAGAAAGCAATTGCTTGTATATTGGACTGTAAATACTTTGATACATTGTTTATGTTATTTAGAAAAATTAATAATTATTCAAATGAAAATTCATTAAGGTAATCATATATTTAACCCCTGTCATTCTATTCTATTAAGTTGATCTCATCTTTTAGATATTTTAGAAACTTTTGAAGTACCTAAAAAATATTTATTAATAAAAGCCCTATATATTATTACTTTCTAATATCTTTTGTAAATTTTGTTTTTTAGTAATAGAAAGCAGAAAGTTAAGTAAAAAAGGTATTTCATCATCCTCATTTAGTTAAACTTAATGGCAACTTTTTAAGATCTTAGTTCATATGAACTCAAAAAAAAAACACTCCTGGTTTCATTAAATTTATTATTAAGGCTCTTCCAGATTTTTTGTGTCAAATTATATACAAAATCAACAATTTTTACAGAAATAAAATGAGTTAAATTTGTAGTCATTTATCATATTTGAAAAATTTTGTGGTAAAATTGCAATTAAGAAGCAATTTATGAATTGTGATAATTTTTGTGCCAATTTTCTTATGAAATTTGTTTGGTTCTATGAAAAAAAATATTCTTAACATTTCAAAGTATTACAACAATCTACCTCTGAGAAGGCATTCACACTTGGTATTTTTGGACCAGATGATATTTGGCATAAGCATATCAATAAAGCTACATTTACCATATAATACCATATAATTTTTAACAATTAATTGTCTTTATTTACTTTGTACCTGATCGATGTTTGAAATAAAGAACACAAGACCGAACAAGAGTGTTCCTCAAGTCATTATCAACTTTAATTTACTTGACTTTCTGCCACTGATCTGATATTTTATTATGGAGAGAAATGCCTAAAATATACTCGATTTATTAACATATGAACTCCAATACATAGGTAACATAAAATATTTCTAACTGCCATTACTTTTTAAATTAATATACAGTATGTTAATATTTGCTGATTTAAAAATTTGAATTACAGAAAAGATCTACCTTTTTGCCAAAGTCATTAAAAGAAATTAATAAAGATTCATTATATTTATAAATATAAAACTAGTTTCCGGCCTTCCAAAATCATTCTTGTTTAAAAATTGTTTTCTTTTTTATTTTCGTGTTTTTTCTGCCTTGTCGGGACAGTTTTTTTTAATGATTTTTTGTGGCACTAGATAAAAAAGGGGTTGATCTTTTATATACTACAAAATTTTAGTTTTTAAATCACCGAATTCCTAGCAGGAGTGCTTCGAGACTTACTGTATATTAAATATGTTCAAATAATAAATTGTGTACATATTTTTATAATACAAAAAAGATGTATATTTTTTCTAGAATAGCAATATTAATTATTATTTATTTTATTGAATGCAAAAAAAAAGACAAATTTTACTATAAGTGTACCTACATCTTATTAAAATCTCATTATAGGTATCAGATTTAGAAAATTATCTGCAGTATTTTCTATTTAGTAATGTAAATTATTATGATGATGGAGATAATGTAAAAATATTAAGATTTATGAACAACCACATTTGAAATATGTGATACAACACTAGCAAATATTTTGGCTATGATGAATCAAAGTTTGGAAACATAATTTGTGATTTTTCTGAAAATATTAGTGGAAAAATTTTGGCAAAGCTAAAACATAAAATGTAGCTTCGTACAATTTGATTTCTGAATATGAATATAAATGTTTGATTAAAGAAATGTACAATTTTATATGATTTATTTCTTAGACACATATTTTCTTAAATATTAATTGTAATGTATATAAGAGTAGTAGTACATTATTTTTAAGAGTGTAATTATTTATTGTTATTTGTACATAATGATTAGTAACATTTTCGCATTTTGTTGTATAATTTTTGCCACAATCGATTCTTATATGGATTATGGAAATCACCCAACAAATTATGATTTTATTGTTATAGGTATCTCACATTTATCACTTGCAATTTACCATTATCCGCACTATTATTTTTAGATGATTTATTGTAATTTAAGTATTGTGGTAGTTATGTGGCAATATTTTTTTTATTAATTTTATTTATTTAGAATAAATAATTTGAGATTACCTATGGCCCATTTATTATTATTATTATTCCAAGGCTGGATAGTGATCATTAGAGTTTGACGTTTGTGAGTGGTCAACGACATCATTAACAATTTTAAAAACATTTGAACTGTGCAAAATATATTAAAATAAACCTACCAGTGTCTCATTTTGTTGCAAGTGAAAAGTGGACCTCATATACAGGGTGTTGCGCTTAAATGTGGTACAAGCCTGTAACTTCCTTATTTTTTTGGCCGATTTCAAAAATTTATATTTTGGAATGTAGGGTAAAAAATATATAATAAATTTATCAGTGAAAAGTGCAAATGCTGAAAACATAATCTGTCCGGCTTATTGCCTATTGTTTATTTAGTATTTTGTCTAGTTCTCCACATTGTTTTTAGCTTAAATGTATGTTACCCTTAGTTTCTTCGTTTATGGATTACGCACGTGACGATAAAATCAACTGCTTTGGAGTAATATTTGTACCAAACTAATACATCATACATTGAACGTAAAAATTAAGTCATAATAACAAAAGTACAGTACATCACATATAAGAGTCGATGTCTTTTATGTATTTGACTTCTAATATGTCTTACACTGATAGAAACTACAATCCAACATAACCTTTTCAGCGTAAACCAGGTAAATGTTTAATATGTTATTAATCTTATAGACACACCTCGAACAAGACATTTTTAAATTCCTTGTATGTAGCGGTCCGTATGAACGCCTAAAAACACTCAATGAAACGTTTCGATATACGAAATCTATTTTCAGACAATAACCGAACTTTATTATTAATTTTATAGTCCTTGTCTCCAAAATACTCACCTCCTCTATTCACAATTCCCAGCGGTGTTTCCATTTTGTAAAACATTCCTGGATAGTTTCACTTGAAATGGTCTTTAAAGTCTGTGATGAATTTTCTTTGGTGTCAAATGGTCTGAAAACGCATAATTTCAGCACTAACTGTAATTTCGGAAATAAGAAAAAAAAGTAGGGAGCCAGGTCTGGCGAGTAAGGAGGGTGAGGGAAGACAGTAATCTGATTTTTGGCACAAAACTGACGAATTGACAAAGCTAAGTGCAAGTGCATTGTCATGGTGCAAGAACCATGAGTTGTCTCACCACAACTCTGGTTTCTTTTTGCGATTTTTTCACGTAACCGTTGTAAAACGCCTTGATGTGCACACGGTTCGCTGTTTCACCTTGTGGCAAGAATTCAAAATGCACAAATTCCATTAAAGTCGGGAAAAAAACAGTGAGCATCAATTTGACATTGGATCGAGACTGACGTGCTTTCGTGGGGCGTGGTGATCCTTTGCCAATCCATCGCATCGTAATGATTGAACTTTTATCTCAACGACGTAGCCGTAAACCCAGCTTTCGCCTCCCGTTATGATCCTTTGAATGAATGTTTCATCGTCATTGGGTTGTTCAAGGAGTTGCCGACAAACGTCCCCACGTTTTTCTTTCTGTTCGGTCATCAACCGGGAAATAAATTTTGTCGCAACTCGATGCGTGTTCAATTTTTCAGTCAAAATTTCATAGCATGACCCAATCGAGATGCTAACCTCTTCTGCAATTTATGTGACAGTCAATCGGCAATTTGCACGCAGATCTTTGGCTTTTTGAATGTGGGAGTCATCAGTTGAAGTCGAAGGGCTTCCTGGTCGAGGATTATTTTCAATTGACTGACGACCACTTTTAAATCATCTCCGTAAGCTTGTTTCAAAAGTTGAAACGTTTCCGTGAAGTTTTCTCCAGTTTCACGCAAATATTTACGTTGCATTAATATTCCAGAAAATCGCACATTTCAAAAATCGTCAAACACGTTGCATTCAAACAAGAATACAAAATTAAATGAGATATCAACACTCCAAGAACATGTAATTTCATATGAGGTTTTGATCAGCACAATTCTGCCAACCGCGTATCACTAAATACCTCCATTAGCGCGTAATTTAAAAAGTTTGGTTACTTTTTTAACAGACCTCGTATTATACAAACGCCGTACCGCAGTACCGCGTTGTTCTATTTACGCACCAAAGTAACAAACTTTAGTGATCAGTTACCTTTTACCATTACCATTGATCATTATGCTTAGTTTAATATTTTGCATAATGTACCATTTACAGCAATTATCTTTGCAATAATATCAATCAAAAATTTCGTGTATAAATAAAATGGCAAATAATTTCGCTTTAATAAATAACAAAATTTACTGTGATTTATTTTTATAATATAAATGAACTCCTTATATAGGTACCTACAAAAATATGTTTTTTTAATTATGACTTGATTCACAAAAAGAAAGTTTATTAGAAAAATATAGAAATGTAATAGCTACATTGAATTTTCAAGTTAAATTCCGAATATATAAAGATGATACATGCGAAAAATATTGTAATATATTTTTAACCGCAAAAGGTTATCTTCATACGAACCTAAAACCGCATAATCATCGCATTGCCAATTGCCATGTATGATTTACAATTGTTGTTAGTAGGTATTTTGGCGAATTACCGCAATTATTTGGATACGGTAATTCATTGAATTGAATGTGAAACATTTTAGCAAGAAGCCAGTTTTGCAAAGCAGCACAACCAAAAATAATTGTAGGAGCACCACGAATATTTTGTAAGGTACATGTTTTTTTTTGGGTGGGGGGGGGGTTAAGCAGTATTTAAGGAATAAATAATGTTTAGTCAAGTCTAACATGATATTTTTCTTTACTAACTTAAATACTTATACCAGCTAAACTCATTACGATAAATCGTACGTTTATCCGTGCGGTTAAAAGAATTATTCTATCCACACAGCACAAACACATTTGCAAACCAAACAATTTCTCCTTCGCACTAGATAAATCGTTACGTATGTAGCTAGCCTAAGATAGTGACAAAAAAATTACGCAAGATTATATAAAGGTGCAAATAGAACAATAATGAACTAAACGGTGCCCTTTTTACTGTGCTCATTAACGTTTTTTGAACAAATAGTGAAAAATAGAGTAAACATTAGGAATAAAGTTGAAATATAAAAATCCGTGCATTGAAGAAAGAAGTTTCATTTTTTGAAATAAAAAACTTATTTCGTCACTTTGAATGTGGGTGTTACCCGTACAAAGGGGTTCTGCTACCAAGGGTTGCTACCCTTGGTAGTGGGATCCTTCAACTAAGTCCAACCTTTAAATCAATAAAATGTTCATTGCTGAAAACCATTTCAGTTTTAGGGGTAGGAAAAACTGAAAGAATGATATAGAAATGGGGTTGTTTTTATTTTTCTAGATAGTTATATTAACTATGACAAAAGTTTTGTCTTTTGTCTGGCCAAAAGTCTAAATAGATACCTATACTATTCGTTTCCGATGATGGTTGTTGTATCTTGTATAATTGGGTAACATTTATATTTTGCGACATAATCTTAATGAGTTAAAAAATTGTATAATAAAGCTTCGTTAAAATTGTCCACTTGAAACCATCCTTATTGTCTATTAAGTTGACATATTGCGCACAATCACTCAGTTTAAGTTGTTATGGATTTATTTGATATTAAACAATGTTATTTTTTGTAAAAAAAAATATAGAAAATTATTTTTTATTAAGTAAATCCCAATCCTCATTCTCATATCAACTAATAAATTAAATAGGAAAATTTCACAGTTGTGTATGTGGATTTCCCGGTTTCCCTTTAATTTTCACTTTTGAAGTACTTAATCCACAAATTGAGTATAAGTTAGTTATAGATTTAAATTGGACGAATGCAAGAAACCCCAATTTCATTTTTGTAACATTAGAGTAGGTACCTATATTATTTTGTATATACGTAATTCTGCTTAATTATTTCTAAAAATATGTTTAAGTTCATTCTTCTAATAATGCGAGGATTTATCAAGTCTAGACCTCTGGTAGGTGCATTTTAATAATAAAATTTCATGGTTCTTAAATGATGTTCAATTAACTGAGGGAAGTCATCATTTTAATGTCGACTACTGCAACTAACTTCACGTCACCCGCCGTCTCCGGACGGTGCAGTGAAAGAATGTAACAATAATGAGAGATTTAAAATGAATGTAATGTAACGCGAGATTTTCCCACACTAATTTTCTCAAGTTAAATATTTATAAAGCGTACGTACATACAACGCGGATTATTTTTTATTTCGTACTAATTAATGCAACGGTAAACAATAGAAGATATATCATTATTAATTCCGAGTACAAAAATACATTTCCAACCCTCCGAACTGAAAATACGAACAAATCAAAGAGACAGAGTTTGCGCGCTTCGAGTATTCGCCTGGCCCACAACTCGTGCTGGTCCACTACTCTCTGCTTACAATGTGACCGGGACGTACTTTTCGTCCTTATCTAATGCATGATTAATTATATATTGCGCTCTCTCTTGACGTCAACTGTAGATGTGAAGGGACCGTAGTACAAAAATAGCTCCTATCGCTCAACTGTTCAATAGAGACCAGTAGCGTCGAACGCTGTACGTATTATTAAATTCATAATCGTAATTCGTCTCCTGAACAAAGAAAAAGACTATTAAAAATATTAATAAAGTCGTATTCTTTGATTGTGGCCGAATTGTTAGGTTTATCCATTCATTTTTTCCTCATTATTAATTGTATGCATTCCAGGTCACTTGATAAACACTAATAGAAGAAAAAAAATAGTTT